ATTATAAAGTTAAAAATAAAAAAATATTATTCGATAGCCAATTTCACCCTCAAGACAAAATAAAGTACGAAATTTTTTTTTTTCCATAATAAAGTGCATTACATTAGCTTTAATTTAAGATATATATAAAAGTGTCAGACTTACCGGAACACTTTCAAAATTTAAGTTGAAAACGTTTTACTTTCTACATGCATTTTTTAGATTTAAACCCCCCTTGTATATAGGGAAATAGTCCGATTTAAAAAAACAGTATGTCGAATGAAAGATCTATATAAATACTACTTCTCATAAAAAAATTGTAATGATTCATACATTTTTCAAAAAGTTATAGCATAATAAAGTTAAAAATGGAAAATACAAAATCGAAAATTTTCACACAAAAATAGCATTCGGTAGCCATTTTCACCATGAAGATAAGATNAAAAAAAAAAAAAACACATCTTAGTAAAATCAATACCTTCTCAGCTCGCATTGTAGTTAAAAATTGTAATTACATATAAAAAAAAATAATTAAGAACAAAAAAAAAAATTGTTTTAAATTAATATTGATTTTGAATATTAATATATTAAAAATAAGGAAAATGACATATTTAACCTATTTTTTTAATCGTTTAAAGTTGATTTTTGTAAATGTTTATAATAAAAAAAAAGAATTTATTTTACCATAACTTTTGCTCAATTGGCAAGTTTGAAATTGACATCATTAAATAGAAAATTTTATGAGAATTAAAAAAATTGTATCGTTAAGATTAATATTGTAATATTATATTATTACATATAATATGATATTATCATTTGTACATGTATGTCACATATTATGATTATACAAGATCATCAAAACAGTCATAATCAACATGATTTGTGTGCATACCTTATAAAATTTCACCGAGTAAAATATTATTACTAATTAGAAAATATACAGATTATAAACTATATTATAATAAGGTATAGAGTGTTTAGAATCTTTTACAAGTTAGATCAGTCGTGGACTTTGTGTAATTAAATCATATTATTTAAAGTCTGGAATCGTTTTTTGTAAGTAATTTATAAGATTCATACGACAATTACGATATCTTTGATGTTTGAAATATGCTGACCTAAGCGTCTGGTAAACGATGATAGCAATTGTTCTCATAAAATGCTGACGCCTATGAACGTTATAATATGGCGGTACCTTTGATATTTGAAATATGCTAACCTAAGCGTCTGGTAACCGATGATAATATTCTTAGAAATTATAATGTCATAACGACAGTNACCCTTGTTGTTGGAAATATGCATACCTAAGCGTCTGGTTACCCATGATAAATTTCTTAGAATTTATTATGCCATAACGACAGACGTTGTCTTTGTTCTCATAAAATGCTGGCGCCTATAAGCGTTATAATATAGTAATACATTTGATGTCTGGAATATGCTTAGCTATGCGTCTGGTTAACAACGATAAAATACTATGTAAAAAATGCATGCATACAACAGTGATTATTACTGTACGTAAAATTTTTTTAGAAATTATTTATTATATACAATCTATAGACGTGCGGCAAGTTTGTTTACGTCGGGTTTCATACGCACCCCTCCCATTAGATTAGTTTAAGTTAAGTTTTATTACCCCTTCACTCATTACGACATGTTGAGGAAATCCCCCTCCACCGACTTAGGTTAGTTTTCATTGGGTTTCACACATTGTGCGCACCTCACACTCAATTGTCTTAATAGATTTTGTTACAAATCGTTCAAGGAATAGTCAAGTGTGGTGGCGGCGGTCGCTACTTGACGTACACTATTTCAATGTAATGTATACATTAAATAATAAACGCAGTGATGACTTGGGGGTGCTGGTGGTGGGGGAGCGACTTTAAATGTAATGCCGCTATTTATAGGTATAAAAAATTTACGTATAGTGTAAATCGTATACGTAGTGCGTTTAATGCTGAAATCAACATTGGATTACTTGAAATATTTAACATCGATTTGATCTTTAATAATAGATATTATTAAATTTTATTTTTATTTTAATTATATTAGATCTTAGCGTTTTTTAGTTATAAACTCTATGACGCTTTGTGGTATATTAAACTGTCATAAAAATGAAAATTGAATATGTTGATAAGAATATTTCTGTTATCTAAAAAATTCCTTCAATAATATTATTTTATTATATCATAAATAAAGATCTACGGCAATTGCTACCTGGGGCATATGCACACAAGGACATCTGTGCACAATTTAAAAATTAGAAACTGGTTATTTATTTAAATAAAATTCATGTTTTAATTGTTAATTACTAATATATTTTCATTTTATAATTGTTATCTATTAAATACATAATTAAAATTCAATAGTAAAATAAAAATTGGGTAAAGTTGAAATCTTCCCTATAATTTGTCAAAAGGCCCGTGTTTTGAATTTGTCGCCTATGAAAACTAAAAGAAGCATCCCAATTTTAATGCATAAATTAACAAAATCGATTCAATCAAAAACATAGAACACTGTAAAACCTTCAAAATCTCACAATAACTCCACAAAGCTAAAAATTATAGCAAAGTTTACGATTTTTTTTATGGAAATATTTTTAAATATATAAATAAAATGTTATTTTACGACGTAATGTGTTAACTTGAGCGTGAATAAATAATTCCAATTTTAAATTCAATTTTTTTTACTTAAAACTGTCATAACTTTTTCAAAAAAGAACAAATCAATATAATTTTTTTTTTATAGATGCATAATGTCTTTACCTACCATTAAAAAAAATAAGATTTTTGTAAAAAAATTCTTTTTTATATTCTTAACTTTATAATGCTATAACTTTTTGAATGATGTATGGATCAATGTAATTATTTTTTTGATGGATGTATGATGTCTTTAACTATCAACCCTACCTACAGGGTGGGATTCAAAATGACAACTTTTTCACAAAAAATTTACTTTTTTAATTTAACTTTTGAAAGTGTTCCGGAAAGTCTGACACTTTTATATATATCTTAAATTAAAGCTAATGTAATATACTTTATTATAGAAAAAAAATTTTCGGACTTTATTTTATCTTCATTCTGAAAACCGACATCAAAGTTAATAAAAAAAATACGATTTTTGTAAAAAAATTCTTTTTTATATTTTTAACACTATAATGCTATAAGTTATTGAAAAGTGTATGGATCAACATATTTATTTTATGGGAAATAATATTTTTCAATAATCCCTTTTTCATTCAACATACTTTATCTTAATCAGGATATTAATGAGGAACTAGCTAATCATGTAGTTTTTGGAATAATACACCAATTTTTTAAAATTAAACATTCTCTAAAGATTTGCATCGAAGCGTTTTTTTTTTGATATTGATTATATCCATATTTGATATGGATTTTAATCACTGTCAGATATCATTATACTTGATTCAACTATGTCACGTCACCACTGTGCCACGACCCCCCTATGCTGGGTTTTTTTTTTATTTCTTCGGTATAACATAGTAATTCAGTGACCCACTGAATATTTTTTAATAATTATAATTTTCTAAACAAAATGTAGTCAACAATTCGAATTATTTTTCTTTTTATCGAGTATCAACTGTTCAAATATATAGCTATCATAAGTTCTCGTCTTTTGACGTTTAAACGTAGTTAGTAGTGACGTAAGTATCACATAATTAAATATATATTTATGTTATCTGTGTATATGTTCTTATTTTAAAGTCAAGCGCTCTTAATCATTTACCAAACGAAACGAAATTTATACAGTTCATAACATTAATATTATTGTAAAATATTTTAATAATATGAATTCAAAAATTGTTGTAATGATATTTTTAAGTCTTTGTTTTGTACCTAATTTTTCCGAATCCAGCAGCTCCAGAGAAAATATTATGAACCCAACTAATTCGGTAATTATCATTATTTTTTAGATAATACTACGTATTATGTAATATGAAACTACAATTTCATAGAAATTAATAAATAAAAAAATTTTTGTGATACAATGTAATTAATTGTTTGTGTAGTCATTCATTCATAAATGCCAATGTCAGTATGAGTTTAATGTTGATANAGCAGCTCCAGAGAAAATATTATGAACCCAACTAATTCGGTAATTATTATTATTTTTTAGATAATACTACGTATTATGTAATATGAAACTACAATTTCATAGAAATTAATAAATAAAAAAATGTTTGTGATACAATGTAATTAATTGTTTGTGTAATCATTTATTCATAAATGCTAATGTCAGTATGAGTTTAACGTTGATAATGATAACATTGTTTCCGAAATACCTATCTGCAACTTATCAGTAATTTTTTTTGGCTTTTAAATTTAATATTTTTAGTTTTTAAATTAAAAATATTTTTGATATAGTTTTAATTTTATTTAATTAACAAATGATCAATTTTTATTATAAAATTATGTTATTTTTATATTAACTCCAATACAAAGCTGAGAATATTTAGATTTTACCATGATGCTATTGATACATTTTCCGTTACTTTTTTCAACTTCAAATAGAAAAAAAAAGCCCATAAAAATTACGACAAATAAAATCTACTAATTTCAATATTTTTTTACTTGTGGATCTTTATATTAATTATTTTTTTTAAAACTAAAGAACACCGTAAAATATTTGTTAAACATACTTGCTTTTTTTTTGAGAGTGAAAAATATTACAAGAACAATACATGCGTAAAGGAAAGAAAATATATTCTACTTTTTCGAAATGTTGTTATCACAGGGATGAAGGTAGATAATATGGTATCAATGGTACATACTTTTAAATTAAAACTGGTATAATATTTTTAAAAATTTATGAATCATAGCAACAATTATTGCAAAAATACCATGTGCATACATTGTTTTATTAAATATTTGTATACAAAGCTATTTATTCGACAAAATTTTTAATAATGTTTTGGAAATTTTGCGTACTTATTTTTTAAAATGCGTCCATATTAAACTATACTGTCATATTGGAATGATTTATGCTTCTTAATTTTTTTTCAGAGTATATCTGAGATAGAAGAAATAGAGGAACATAGTAGCTACGTAGACAATATTAAATACCCAAACTATTCGGTATTTTTTACTTTTTAAATTATATGTTGTATTACTTAAGGTGTAACAACAATTTTATAGAAAATAATAAATTTAAAAATTATTTTGTTATAAGTACTATGCACTAAGTCTATGTTTTGCATCTAATTTTTCTGAATCCAGTAGCTTTAGAGAAAATATTATAAACATAAATTATCCGATAATTATTATTTATTTTTATTAATTTATTTTAGCATAACAATTTTCTAATATATTGTAATAATAATTCTTTAATTTTATTAATTTACATGTTCATGAGTAGGTGTATAATAAATAAGTTAGGATATCATGTGGATTTACCCTGCCCTAGGTATGAATTTAGAAGGTTTGCGCGTCGGTGGAATATTGTGAAAGGTATATGCCTCCCTTCCCATGAAAGGTTAAGAGTATAATAGAGGGTGTTCTCCACTCTCTCATAGCAAATTCAGATGACAATACAAGTTTAGGGGGTTAAGAGTTAATCTATATATGAGGGGTTTGCCACCACATAAGAAGGGGGCATAGACTATAAAAAAATGAATAGTTTTAAGAAATTACTTATCAAATTGTAATTAATAAGTAATTATGAGTTAAAAATGTCTAAGGGATGAAGGAATGGATTAGTTTATAGGGATATATGTTTTGCGATTCGCAGAGTTTGTAATTGATTTTGTTATATTTAATGAGTATTTTCCCATAAATAACGGATAACTCAAGTAAAATTAAAAATGTTTTGTCAGTTAAACGTCTTAAAAATGTTATTTTGTGACAAGTGTGAAAAAGTGTTTGCATTTAAACATGGACTGGTATATGATTTAAGTGTTATTTATGTCCATCTACATTTGAATCGAAATAGGAACTTTCATNTCCATCTACATTTGGATCGAAATAGGAACTTTCACATCATGTTAAGACAATTTACCGTGAGTATTACAATTATAATTAAATTTATAGTAATATTAAAATAGAAAATATATTGGTAGAATGGTAATAAAAGTGTATTATTTTAGATCTTATAAAGTATTGTGTGGACTATAATATTGCTATAGGAAATCATGCTGATTCCATGCTATGTCATCGAGTTGTAAGTAAAGAAAATATATTATTAAAAATTTATATGATAAAATAAATGTATGAGTATTTTTTTTAGAAAATGTAAATGTTGTGGAGAGAATGCAGGCGGGCCCCAGTGTAATTAGTCCTAGACGTCGCAAACAATATAACACTGACAATACGATTAAATGTAAACGGGTAAAGGTGAAACGATAACATGACATTACGACGAGCGGTTTTCATAAAATGGATGAATCATTAAATAGTCAAATTTTATGGTTTTACAAAAAGAATATTGAAAATTTAGCCGGGTATCAATCGTTTTTGTCCTCAACAAGAGGCGATTTAGTTAAAATATTACGCAACTGTCTTAAAGAAATGGGGTCGATAAAATTCAACTTAAAACTGGAGGTGACTTATATAGTACCGAATAATGAAACCAAGTACGAAAAATGGTCATTTAAAACGTCGGCAGTCGAGTCAATTAACGATGATGATATAGATCATGCTGTGTATATGTCATACACAAAATTATTAGAAGAACTAGAAAAATATGCTGGTAAAAGTTGTAATTTCTCGTTTTCTAATATAGACGGTATTTTACTGGGAGTGCAAATATCAGCCTTTGGGTGGTTCTTTTTATATTGATTTGCCGCATGACATTAAAATGAGAAGTGCTGTAATTTACCCACAATATATAGATCAACAATGTTTCAAATAGGCTGTATTAGCAAGAAAAGTGACTGGTGATAACAAATATATAGTCGATTATAACTATAAGTCGTAAGAAAACTCTTATGATTTCTCCGTTTTATCATTACCAACACCAATTTCAGACATAGAAATTTTTGAAAAAATAATACGTATACTTCAGTTAATGTTCACAGATTGAAATTGAAAAATTCACATAATAAACCCGAATATTTAGTTTATCCGCTGAAAATGTGCGCTGAATAACGTAAAGACCATATCGATTTGCTAATTATATCAAACGCCGCAGGTAACAGTTATTACGCTTATATCACTGATTTTGAAAAACTGGGACCATCACAAATAACAAAGAGTACGACAAAAATGATATTTTATAAACGGTGTTTCAGAAGCTTTAATAATATACCAAAAAAGTTTAACTACATGATCACAAGGCGCTAGAAGAGCATAAAATAATTTGCTGTGAATATAAAACATTTTTACCTGTAATGCCTGAAGAGGGTACTAAATTAAAGTTCGAGTCATGGGGCAAAATACAGGAACATCCATTTGCAATTTATGTTGATTTTAAAAGCCTGTTGATCAAATCCAATAAAGATACGATAGGCAACACAAATTATATGCATGATCATGTTGCAATGAGCTATGGATACATAATAAAAACGGTCGACAGTATACCCATAGAATTATTGAAACAGTTTAATATTCAAAGGACGACTCAAATATATAGAGGTAATAAAAGCAGTGAGCCGGAGGAAGTTAATCGTTTTATGGATGATGTAACTTAAGTGGCGTTGAAAATTGAAAAGTTGTTCAAGACGAATTATGATATTTGTATGAACATGAAGAAACTGAAGAGCACATAGAGTAAACTTGCTGTAACTTGTGTAAAGGTGGTTTATAGAGAAAAATTATAAAGTAGCAGACAATGATCATTTGATAGGTAAAACATACACATACCTATATTAAATGTATTGTAATTTATATAGAAAAAAATGTGTATATTTATTTATATTCGTTTCAGATAGTTTTAGAAAAACGCTTTGTAACAATTGCAATTTAAAATTAATAACGTCCAAGTTTGTTAACGTATAATTTCATAATCTCTCCTCGTACGACGGACACCAGGCCCTTGCGCAGGATTTGACAATGGGGTTTTTTTTAAAAAAGATATATATTTAATAGATAAATCAATAACTATCAAATATTATATACTATATATTTATAATATAAATAAATCATGATAAAACTATAAAATTAAAAATTATTTTTTTAATAAATTTAATCTACGATGAGTAGAAAAGAATTCGTTTAATACTTCGTTGATATCCACGTTTATGTCACGATGGATATTCAACGAAGCTTGTCCGATTAAACGATATTCACCCATAGATGACCTTAAATAGGTTTTGAAAATGTTGAAAATGACCTTTCATTAGTCACTGTAGTCACCGGCAAAACTGACATTACACATAACATTTTATGAACATTTGGAAACGCATCTGAATTACAAATATCGAGGGCGTTTCGAATATTTTTACCAGCTTGTCGTCGTTGCCAAATTTCTACCTCATTTATCCAAATTTCTGGGGAATCGTCGTGTAAAATTGAACAATAAGTTTCAAATAACTTTTTACATGAATCTTTGTCTAAAGATTTTGTTTCAATAGGAAAAAGACATGAGAAGTTTGACAAAATATTACGATGCTTGAGGAAGCGATCTTGAAGATGAGTAATAAATAAATCAAGGTATGGTATGTAAATAATAATTTTATAATAATCTTCTACAGAGTCGGTTATAATGTTAGAACGGTTAATTTGACGTGAGGCAAGTCTAGGTTCAGTCACAGGTATATTGTACTTATTGAAAATATCTTCTACAGTTACAAAAATTGTGTTGAAGTTATCTGTAGAATATTGTCTTCTTTCCTCAAGTTCGTGTTTTGCTGCATCTGCCAACTTCACGGCCTCGACTAAATCTTGATTTTCCGCTTGTAAAACTCTACTCAATGATAAAGACAATGCATGTACTGAATTTAAAACGTGAATTAAAATTTGAAATTCTAATGTTTTTATTGCTGATAGTAATTGAAAAGATCCGGCTGTTGTTTTTGAGTCTGTCCAAGTACTCGAAATATTTTCTAAGGCATCAATAACTGCTGGTTGTAAATCTATATAAGTTCCAATCGACTCATGCTATAGTACCCACCTTGTTGCACAATATTTTTTAAGTTTTTTTTTTCTTGTAACAAAGTGTCATTATTTTTTATTGCATCCTGAAGTGCAATTTGCCTTTTTGGGGTATTATAGAAGTTGTAAATAAATTGGACTGTACCAAGGCAGTTTTTGACTTGAGGGATACTACATGCGGCACTAACTGCTAAATTGAACCTATGGGCAGCACAGTGTGAGTATAGAGCTAAATTATATTTTTTTTTTATATACGATTGAACTCCGTGAAATTCACAACTCATAGTACTAGCCCCATCATAACCTTGTCCAAATAAATATGTACAATCTATTCTAGAATATTTTAGGAAATTCAAAATAGCATTTGATAAACCTTTCACTGTTACATCTTCAACAGGGATAAAGCTTAAAAAATATTTACATATTTTATAATTACTGTCCTTATAATTTAAATACCGTACACAGATTGAAAGTTGTTCTATGCCGGCTATATCTGCAGGTTCATCTGCTGTTAANTTGTTCTATGCCGGCTATATCTGCAGTTTCATCTGCTGTTATAGAAAAAGCTCGAGATTTATTGACACGTTCAATAATCTGTTTTTGAATTAAATTGTGAAATATGACAATAAATTCGTTTTGAACACGGTTACTAATGTACATTGCGTTTTTTGCTGAATTTTGTAAAAAATTATTAAGCTGTTCATCAGTTTTTGCTCGATATCTTAAAAGAGCCCGAAAATTACCATCGTTAGTTATAGGTTCTTCGGAAGTTACTCTTCCTGAATCTTTTGAACCACGAAGAGCCAAACCCTGCCGACCACATAATATTAAAGTTTCGATCACAGGAATCAAACATTTTTTACTTTCATTAATGAAATCTAATTGTTGTTCCAAAATTTGTAAGTCAACCAATAAAATGTTTTGATTATCAATTTCTGTTCTCATACTTGATTTTAATAATGAAGTTTTATGATACTCGAGTGAGTTATGATAAATAAATGATCCTAAAGCTTTTTTTCAGTTGGTAAGTGGTTTTTTAACAAGCTGCCCCAATGTTTGATGTCCAATTCCTCCACTTCGTACAGAAAACAATACACAATACTTACAAAATGCGCCATTCATAAATGCTGAATGAGCCAACTATTTATATTTGGGTAACCAACTTCTTTGAAATTTAAAATTTCTATTTTCGGAAACAGGAAATTTGTAGTCTTCTGGAGGTGTTCATATCAAATTTTGAAGTCCCGGTATCAAGTTAATACTTTCAGTTGCAGGTTTATTCATATATAACCCTATATCATGAGGGTACACAAACTTTGGAATTGAAACTGAGACATTTGTATCTGTAGATGCTTTTTCTGCTGGTTTAGTTGAATGTGACAGGTTATTGAAACTAGTTTCCTATAAATAAAATTTAAAAACTAAATAGATTAATCGAGTAATTGTAATAATTACAATTAATTTTAATATACTTACTATCTCATCTTTTTCTAGTAGTGGTTTTTTTAAAAATCTTCGAATGTCCATTTCGATGATATTGCAAACACCGTTTTTGTATAACTGACGTCTTAAACTTGATTATGAACATCTTTTAAAATACGCGACTTCCGTTATCGTGTCATACTCGTGTTCTTCACGTCACCGTCGCGGTAATTATATTTTGTCGATAACGTCTCAACGAAAACCGATAAACACCAAACACGAGAGTAACACAATAATAGTGGTGTGCTATTATGTTATGCATTATTATTTTATAACTAGAGCACAAGACTTCTGTTCCCTAAAAAAACTGATTATGCGTGCACTTATGCACTTAAAAATCCTGAAATGAGCTCTTATAAATTCGTTTTTAACGGTTTATTAATAAAATAAATAATTAATTAAAACGTATAAACCAAAAAGAATATGCAATGCTAACAGTTCTCTGCAATTTTTATAACAAATAAGATTATTAAATATCTAATATAATCAATTAAAAATGAAAAACATGATATATATTTTTTCGTCAATGGGGGGGGAGGGGGTTTGAACTCCCAAACCCTCCATTGCGACCGGTCCTGACGGACACTTTTTAGTTAAAGCTCTTGGAAGAGATACTAATAGAATCAGTGTAATACCTACTACAGAAGAAAAATATATTTCTTTTTCAAAGTTTGTTTCAAACAAATTTTCTCTAAGGTTCGTTGATACATTTCGTTTTATGGGTACTAGTTTAGCGTCTCTCGGTGAAAATTTGCACGCCGTTGACATAAAATTATTCGGAGAAACCGCAAATACGTTTTCAGCGGACGGTGACATTGATTTGGTGACCCATAAAGGCGTGTACCCGTATTCATACACCTCCAGTTAGCATGTACTCGAAAAAATACAATTGCCGTCAAAATCCGATTTTTATTTTGAACTGTTAGAAACGCATACTGATGATGCCGAATACAAACATGCACAAAAAGTTTGGCAACATTTCAATTGTAAAATACTCGGCGATTACTCTAATTTGTACCTGAAAACTGACGTAACAATATTTGCAGATGTTTCTACGAATTTTCGCAAGTTATGTCTACTGCATACGGGCGTTTCACTAGACCTCATGAGCGATTATGAACATCAAATTTTTATTGAGAGGGGAATACGAGAAGGAATGACAACTTCGATGTTGAAACATGCCATAGTCTACAGTAAAAAGACGCCTCATTATGATATCAAACAACAAAAATTTGAAATTGTATATTTGGATGTCAATAATTTGTCTGGTTGGAATATGTCACAACATATGCCATGTGGAGAATTTAAGTGGTTAGACGTATACGACGCATCAAAAATTTTAAAGACAGAGGAAGAGTTACCGGTGGATTCTTCTGTAGGGATGTTTTAAGTGACGGTGTCGTACCCGAAAGAGTTACATGATGCCCACAACGAAATGCCTTTTTTACTTGAACGAAAATGCCCGCCTATCCATGGGTCAAAAAACTGTTGTCTAATTTCGATCGGAAAGAAAACTATGTTGTACATTTTTTAAATTTAAAACAGACTATAGCAAACGAATTAAAAATAGAAAAGGTAATTCATAAAATTATACTTTAAAAATATAATAATAACATGTTATTAAATTACAGATGCATAAGATGTTATAATTTAAGCAGTCAGTATGGCTGGCAAATATATACAACTCAATACGGAAATGAGACAGAAAGCCAAAAATGAATTCGATAAAGACTTAATCAAATTAATAAATACGCTGTTTTTGGTACGTTTCAAAATTAAATAAAAATATATAAACATAATTTTAATGCGATTTCGTTTGTTAACAGCTAAAATTATAGAACGTGTATAGTTTAGAACGCAAATGGAACTGGTTAATAATCCTAAACGAGCAGCTAAATTAATTAAAAAGCACAATTTAAAACATTGTACAACATGCAGTGAAATTTATCGGCGTTTGTATTGGAAAAGAAAATTATCGATTTTTGTTTTATAATTTAGAAATTAGTAAAACTCTAGTATACGATTTCCATTATAACGTAATGAATAAATATTTCAAAGACCGAGCTCGATTATTATACGGTGACTTAGGTACCTTAAATAATATTTTTATTGAAAAAATATAATTATTTTATTTTATAATTTTATTTTTTAGATTAATTGGTGTATTTTATCATGGGTGGCAAAAAAAGACTTGACACTTCAGGTTTGCCGAGCAGTCACCCGTGTTATTCAAACGCTAACAAGAANATTACGATGCTTGAGGAAGCGATCTTGAAGATGAGTAATAAATAAATCAAGGTATGGTATGTAAATAATAATTTTATAATAATAAATAATTTTATAATAATAATGGTTTTGACATGGAGGGTAAAGAAAAAATTAAGGCTATAGGGATATGTGGTCACGTTGTGAAAAATCATCTTACAGTGGAGGACTTGAAATGGTGTTTGTATGCTGAAGAGGAGCCTGTAGTAAGCGACGCTCATACAACAGCGGCTACATATGATGCGATGGTTGTAAACAATACCTCTTCATAGCTAACACTTCACCCTCTCACGTGTAAAACGTTACATACAATGATCTATGGCACATTCTTCACTCAGTAATTACATATGGATTTTTAGGCAAACAACAAACATGTTATATGACACATTTAAGTTTTATTATAAGTATACAAATTCGATTACATTATTAATAATGATGAGTATAAATATTTAATTTTAGAATAATTCACACAAAACAATTTGGAATTATTTATATACCAATTTCTTAACATAAACATTTTATAAAAACTGCAATAAGTAGGATTTAAATTCATATGAAATAAACATGATGGGTATGAATTATCTTTTGACAGTTGTGTTATACGAGGGCAGCCAATTTCTTCCATGCTAATGATATTTACATGTGGTATATACTGTTGTTAATTGTTAACGAGTTTAAAATTCTCGGTAGTTCTTCAATTTCTCCATGCTGAGGTTGCTTGAATGTCTGTGCTTTTTCAACCTCGCGTTAACATTTCGACTTTTTTCATCTGTTGGAGTTGCATGTTTAAACATTAAGTGTTGAGCAGAATACGTTTCAGTATTCACTATAGATAATTCTTTTATAAGATACTCGATATTCGATCCCAATATATATTAAAAATCGGCTATTGCTGTAGCCATTATTTAGTTTGTTAACTAGTACGTGCAGAGTACGGATTTTGTTCTAAGACGTTTTGTTTTTTTAATAAACGTACACTAAAGTTAATAAATGCTTCGTATTTTACAAAACCTTTAGTTTTGATAATCTATTCTTCTAGCTGACTATATTGTAATTTAGAAGCTGAGTCTATTGCATTGAAATTAGTATTTAAATTTTCAATTTTAACTTCTACTCCATGTATTTGTTCATTTATTTTTTCAATTATTTTCCGATAATTACTAAGCGTTTCAGTAATTTTTATAATATCTGTTTCTAATTTAGTTAATGTAGACTCTAGTAGACATATTTTTTTTATTCTTTTACTTTCTAATGATGAACAAATACATCTATAACTGTTAACGTTTACGAGTAAATTAAGAATATTTTATTAGTTTTGCAGATTTTATTTTGTTCAGATGATTTTTTATACATTTGTAAGAACATTTATTACTATGTTCTTACCACTTATATTACACACGTTTTATTTCTATTTATTTAATTTGTAATACATATTAATTAGCATAGAGGGAGATGCTGATATGAAAATTCTACTCGTCTGTAGCCCGGAGCTACTGAAGTCGAACTAACAAAGGGCAGTTGTGTTTGAGTGGCCGTTATAGACATAGTTTTCAATATTATTTCTTACGTTTTATTTATATTATTTATAACTTAACTTGTTTTATTCAACGACCCGTCTATCGCCAATTATCATCATAGCCAACCAACTCCGTCTCACTTGGATATACCTACTAACCAACTGTACTAGGATTCAGGTCAGACGTATTGTACATTACATATAACTTATATTTACTGAACATCTAAAATATAACTTTACTTTGTCGTTGACATAAAACAATTGTCTAATTTTATTTAATAATCTATCCTCTGTAACTAAGGTACACGATTGCCTGTGTCTCCTTCAGACAATTAAAACTCATTTAAGGAGATAGGGACGATATTTGGGCAGACGTCGGGTAGCTTCCGATTCTTGGTTTTGACCAAGATCCTCAACTATTAAACTAGCCCCTAACACATTAAAAGTAATAACACGCAGTTTAATTAAAGATAGGTTTAGAGGATATGTCACCTTAAGGTTAAATATATATCCATATTGATAATTTATTATACAGAGTAAAAAATATTTAACTAATAGTGCATATTATACATTTTTACATTAATATCTTACAATAATATTAAAATTATTCATTTTTCAAGTTTATTATTCATCCATGAATCATGTTTTGAAGGGAAACCCGTCCAACGAACGAATACTTTATCTCCTTTACGTCGTACAATTTTTTTAATCAGATAATTATGCGGATACTTGGTTTTTTGAAATTCTTGTTCGTAAAAACACTCTTTAATTTACTTAAATTTACTATACGTAGAGTAATTTTTTATGCCGTAGTTTTTCATAAGAGTTGAAAAATTTAAGTTATAGAATTCTTTCCCCAAATCGCTCTGTACGTGAACAACATTACATTTTGCCAGTATAGGTTCTATTGCTTTCACTATATCAGCACCTGTTTTTGATTTTAGGGGTACTGCTCATGAATATTTTGTAAAACAATCAATTAGAAACAAAATACAGAGTGATCCATTTAACATTGACCAGCAAATATCTTATCTTATCTAATATGTGTCTTTACGAGCCATCATAACCGCTGCAATTAACTACCTGTATTACAAGTCTACCCGTTTTATACATATATATAGGTAAAAAAAATCAAAACTTTAAAGTGAAATAACATGCAAACTAATCGACTTAAATGAAAAATTCAAACGCTAAAAATTAAAAAAAAAAAACTCTATCAATATATCTAACTAAAAATATATGTTTCCATTTGAAAAAAAAAAGTTGGTACCCTTTTAAGGCATAAGGGATGAACCTAAAAATTATCTGATCATGGATAAATGTAGAGTTTTATGTAACTAAAATAATTAAAAAAAAAAATTATTAAAATAATAAATAGTTTTTGAGATATTTGCTGGTCAATGTTAAATGGATCACCCTGTATATATATATAGCTTTTGTTCTTTCTATGATATGGTATAAATTCGGTTAAATCGATCTGAAATAAATCGTCACGACTTTTAAATGTAACACTACGTCTATCGTAATGTATTCGTCTAGGTCCATGTAGTTGTTCCGCAATTTGTCTTTTAAACATTTGGTTTTTTTTTAATTATATCCACCTCGTATAATTTTACATAAATTGTTATAATTTCATTACTATGTGAATTATTGCCTGCTGCTTGTGAAGCCAATAATAATCTAAGACAGTCGCAGAGCTCGTCTGTGTTATTCCAATGTTTATATTTATTCGACGTGTTCAATGACAACACAAGACTTCTGCCTTCGACAAACAATTTACTTATAACTTCTTTATACTTGTATCCATTTGTTTTCTTAATTTTTAATTTATTTGTTGTTAAGTGCGCAGAAGTTTGAACTAGAATGTCTCTATAGAAATCCAAGTTATTTTTATCGTATGCGTTAGGCTGTTTTGAAAATATTAACTGTATTAGACAGGTCATTTTATAATTAAACTGTACAGTTTTATTACCAAATTTAATAAGATCCCCGTGTTTTTCTGGTGCATGCTCTTTGTCGCCGTCATGATAAGCTAGCCAAGCCTTAACCAAGTCCATCATAGAAAATATCCATCCATTAGAATTAATATCTTTAACATTATAGCTTTCATTTTACAGTTATGATACCATAGAATGATTTTCATCGCTTTTATAATTGTTATCGTCATAGGCGTCATGGTTATGTTCATATCTTAAATACTCGTTATTATTATCAAATTTATTATTAAAAATAAAAATATGCAATGTTTTCTCTTTTTGAAGTGAAATCATTTAAAGGTTCAATAATCGGTTTTAATGTACGTTTCATGTAAACCTCATTAGCAGCATCATAGTTTTGCAATGATTGAAATTTTCGTTTAATATTCTGCTTGGCCTCGACTGATTGTCTTAATATTTCGTTATTAGATTCTCCATCCATTATTAATCGATTACTGACAAAATTTCGTTATTATACGATATTATATTATTGCAAAAGTATCGAAACATTTACGATACCTGCCTTCATTTTGCGGATTGTCTTTGCTAATTACTGCAAAACTAAATTTACCATCGTTTCAACATGAATGGTAAAATTCACGAAACTGGTTAAATGTCATGTCCCTTGAAAAATTATAAAAATATATATACCATATATTGGTTTCGTCTTTGTTTGAGCGTAGCGCCCGGTGGAATTTACGCGGGTTCGTTAACGTTCGTGGTTTTGTTTTGTCTTAAACTTTTAGCTATGTCGAGGATAAATAATAAGGTGAGTGGATTGAATGTTTGGATCTAGAATGAAATTCACAAGATATAATTATAACAATTAAATGTATTATACAAGAAATATAAAATCTTATATACACAATGTGGATAGGGGGACAATTAATACTAATGCCACTAAGGCGATGATATAAACAAATAATAAATTATACAAGTGAGTCTTAGAAAGATAAATGAACAAGCATTATACTCATCTACTAAATGAAACAGCTGATGATAATGTTGAATATTGAAAGGATCAATTGAAGTCGAATGCAAGTAACTGGCCAAAGTGTACAATATGCTGTAAACAGTATTGTGTTGTATCTCAGAAAATATATTGACCTAACGGCGATAACTGAGCGCACAGGTACGACAATCGCAAAGGTGCTATTTTCTTTTTACAGTAAAAACGAATACAAAACTACTGGCTCGTAGCAATAATTAATCGTAACAGAGAGAAAATCGACAACAACTCGATGTAACACAACGATAACATGAATAATCAAAAACACATTTTCTTGCACAGCATATTCGATCGATGTGTATCCAACATACTCCCGGCGTTAGAAAATGAATTCTTCCAAATTTGGCAAGAAAAAAAATAATAATAAAAACAAAAAAAAACATAATAATAATGAAAAATGGAAATGGAAATGGAAATGGAAATGGAAAGTCTAAAGTAGAGTAAATATACAAGGTTACTCTGCAATCCGCGGTAGAAACAAAA